AGGTTGCTAATCCCTGAGTTTACACCTAAGTTTTAGCATATTCATAAATGATGTATTTCTTATAATCTACTCCAATGAGCTTTGCAAGCCTAATATATTTATTGTGTTGAAAATTTGTGATCACCCTGATTTTCCTTGAACTTTTTGATACCTACTAAAATGTTGATAAAATAGTATGAGAAATACCTGTATACACTTAGCACAGAAACAGTTGTCAGAATTTTGCCACATTTACTTCATCTCTTCATCTCTATCTATGTAAACACACATGTATATTTTTTACTACTGCTTAATTATTTGTAAGTTGCAGGAATTATGCTCCTTTAGCACATATAGCTAAGAATAAGGGCATTTTCCTATATCACCCATAGTGATAAAATTTAAAAAAATAAGTCTTTATCTCAAGAGAAGGAAAAAATAATAACCTGAAGGTTACTAGATGACTCTTTGGCATTATTTAGCTCCATATTAGAAGAAGAAGATTATCACTATTATCCCCATTTTACAGGTGAGAAAACTGAGGCTAGGAGAAGTTAAATAACTTGTCCAAGGTTACTCAATTAGTAGATGATAGGATTGGGCCTTAAATTCACCTCTTTGGATCTCAAAACCCACGCTAGAGCCAATACATTAAAGTTCTCAAAGAAACACAGAGATGATTTTGTTTGAGTAGACATGGATTTTTAGAAATTTTCATAGTTACGTTTTATTTGTAAGTGCATCAGGTATATTATCAGGTCATTGGGAAAGTTGTGACTGCATTTTTCTGGTTTTCTATGCAAAAATGCATCATGACTTGCCTGATGACCCATATATATGACTAACACAGCATATTAATAATATTACTATTTAAGAGACAGACTAGACTACTGAAGTTAAAACAGTAGTTTATTTAAATAGAAACATAATTTAAAAATTAGACAGGGCAGAAATTGTGATGGTGATGTAATGGGCTGAATTGTGTCCAAATTCAAATATTAAGGCCCTAACCCATAGCACCCTCACACGAGACTATAGTTGGGGGGGAGGCTCTTTGAAGAGATGTTGAGGTTAAATGAGGCTGTACTGAGGGCCCTAATCCAGGCTGAGTGCTGTTCTCATAAAGGGGGATTAGGACATACAGACATGCAGGGAAGTGCACACTCTCTGGGAGAACGACCTGTGAGGACTCAGTGAGAAGGTGGCCACTGGAAAGACAAGGAGAAGGTTCTCAGAAGAAACCAAATCTGCCAAAACTTTGATCTTGGACTTCCATTTCCCAGAACTATGAGAAAACCAATTTTTACTGTTTGTTTTGTTTTGTTCTTTTAGAGATTTTTGCTATAAGGTGTGTGTGCTTGTTGGAGAGACAGAGACAGAAAGAGAGAAATCACTCCCACTTCTCCTTCATTCTCCTCTCTGGATTTTAGGCGCACACACACACACACACACATACACACACACACACACCTGGCGTGAGTAAAAACAACCACACACGCACTTGCATTAGTTTCAAAGCCACTGGGTCTAGGACTCAACCACAGAGGACCACATGGGAATCCAGTGCCTTAACCACTATGCCACCTGCTGGTCCCAATTTTCATGGCTTAAGTCAGCCAACCTTCAGTATTTTGATATGACAGCTCTAACAGGTAAGTACAAGTGATAAATAGTTGACTTAAGTTTGGAAGATGCTTCCTTTTTCTGAACTGTAGTCTTTCAATGATCTAAGTTAGAACTTAGAAATTAACTTAAGCAATAATGCCAGTCTCTCCCTTTTCCAGTATTGGTTCAATGAAGACACTGGAGATTCATTCACTTACTCATTCATTAAAAAATTATCAAGGACTTATTAGGCAAGGTTTAGGCAGACAAGACATTGGCTGCCTTAAGCTGCTGACTGTCTGGTGGGGGCGAGGTTGGGGAGACCAGGCAGGCACTGTTACAGGCTAGTCTGAGAGCTATTATAGAGGTATCTAATGCCACTAAAGATCATCACGGCAGAGCTAAGTTTCAAAAAGGACTAGAAACAATTGGTCAGATTGGAAGAGGAAGTGCCTCCCAGATAGAGTAGGCATCAATGCCAACCATATCCCCCTAGCCTGCAGACTCAGTTCTGCAAGGTGTACTGAGGCAGACACATCCGTGGACAGAGAGTGAAACTGATCTTGTTGCTCTGGGTCCAGTAAATCCCCAGGCCTATTTACCAAGCCACCTTCCCTCAACCCTACTCTACTTAGCATGTCTAGTTGGTGAAATGGGTCATGGGTTCTTGATGTGCTCTTCCCTGGAACTGGGTCCCTGCTCCCTGCCTGTCTCCACCTTGACCTGGACTCCTGCCAGGGCTTTTAAAAAGACAAATTACCCAGAATCGTGATGCCATTACCTGGCTCCAAACAACCTAAACAGACAGATTACCCAGAATCGTGATGCCAGTACCTGGCTCCAAACAGGATCAGTGTCCAGAAACTCCTGTTGCAGTGTTATAAAAATAAGAGCTTCTCCATCTACCTAGCACTTCCTCTGTGCTAACCTTGGTTCTAAGCCTGTTCTATGAGTTATGTCATTTGATTCTTGGAACAACACTACCCAATATTATTATGACCCCAATATGATAGTAAGAAATGCTGACTCTTAAAGCAGTTAGGAATTTACCTGGGACCATACTTGGTAAATGATAGAGTCAAAATTCATACTCAGATATTCTGATGCCAAGGCCTATGCACTTAACCATGTGCTACATGACCCTCTGTGCAAAGAATCCACAAACCCAGGAAATACTCGCATTGGCCCAGGTGTTGAGGTCCATGGGTTTGTGATTTGAGTGACAGGCTATACTCCCCTCTATGAGAAACAGCTTAGACTCTACCTATTCCTGCCTTTTTTTTCCTAATATGCCCATAATCCTGAGTCCCCAGGGTTCCTGATTTCCAAGCCTGAATGGAAGTAACTGTGCTCCCAGGGGAATTAACTATCTGAAGATGAGGAAGCAAAAGAGGATTCTGATAGAGTCCTCAAGATAAGAGGCAATACTCAGAGTCCTGCCCAGGTTCTTGGGGGTGGGGTGGGGGTGGGGGTGCTGGTAACTTATATTTTCAGGTTGTATTTTCCATCTTTGGCAGTCCTCCAGTGTTTTCAGTTTCAGATTTAGAAATCCTGGCTTTCAGGTCAGGTGAGAAACCCTAAAATATTTAACATCTTGTGTAGCTCTTGAGTCTTCTTCCAAGGATTCATTTCATTAGGGAAAATGGCTTCCCCTCAACCATGAGGGCCTCAGAGACAGGCAGGGAGGTGGGGAAGGAACGTAGACAAAAGGACAGGCTTGCACCCTGCTCTGACTCTGTCTCAGGAGTTCCCACTCCCAGGGAAAAAAGTTTCACTCTCAGCTCCACATCTGGCCATTCCCAAGCTATGGCTGCCCCAGCAAGGCCCCACAATGGGTCCCAGTGTGGCTGAGGCCAGGAGAATGGGGAGTCCCACAAAAATGAAGATGTCATTGGGCTTTAGGGGAGGGCAGAGCTGCTGTGGGCTGCCAAGGCATAATGCACAAGCCCTGTGGGTGGCATAATGTGTCATTCATTTCCCCCTGTATGTAGAGGGGACAGGCAGAACAATCCAGACTCTGTCAGCATGGTCTTCTGAAGGGTTCAGGCCACGCTGATGAGGATGAATAGGAAAGGAGATCTGGCCCTCGAGTCTACTGCTTTTGCTACCCTGAGCTAATGAATCCATATTCTTGGGCTGGAAGGACAGCTCCCAGGAATGATCTATCCTCACAGAGGTGACAGGGGCAGAGGCATGGCAGTGTTGGTCAAGCCTGGGGCAGGTCTGTATTGTGGTATGGCACATTCTGGGTGGTAAATTGGGGGATCCCAGGAAAGACCCTTCTGTATACAGAATTTCCAAGGCAGAACCTCTCCCTTTGCCTACTGCAGACATAAGACCTGGTGGGTGCTCAGGGACCACCCCACCACTACTCACCCCAAGGAGCTTACTTCGCTCTCAGCCAAGTTCTAGAACCAAGCTCAACTTTGCTACCTCCTACTCAGAATCAGCCAACAGAAATTCCTGGACCGTATCTGTTCTTCCTGGCTTGGCTTCATGAAATTAATTGCTGGAGGTCCACAGAGAGTGCTTGGAACACACTGTACCATCTCATCTCACTGTTCCCACAGTTTGCTGACCTTCATCTATCTGACTCTTCTTTGATTCTCCCTTAACTAGGTTATTTGACAACACATCTCTGCCCATCACAAGCCTCCAGTGTCTAGAAAGGTGACTTTGGTGGGACATTACACTTTGTGTGGAAATCTGCACAAAAAACTTGGGTATCTATAAGTTTCTTCAAAATAGAGTAAATCTAGAGACTATATACACCATCATTTCAAAGTTAGTAGATTTATTGTGGACTCACTGATATTCTAAATGCTTCAATCCCCATTTCAGCACATCCAGCCTCTGTCCCCAGGCAGCACAAGTGAAGGAGGCACACTGAGTCAAACAAATCAAATCATCTCTCTGTAGTTGGTCTCCTGTAGGTTTCTACTGAGCCACAGGCTAGTACTTACTGCAAGACATATGTCTAGCAGAGCCCAAAGAACCTTACCTGCCTTTCTGACATGATGTAGAGCTGCTCATGATCCTTGGAGAAGGCCATGTCCCGGAGCACTGGCCCGTGGTCCACCACCTGCACAGTCTCATACTGGAGGGCGTTGCCCCTGGGCCCATCCACCCGGATCTGTGAAGAAGAGGAAGAGGAGAGCCATTGAGTTCAGATCCTGCCAGCAGCCGACCTTTATCCAGAGACCCCTCTAACAGCCAATGGGTGGGGGGAGGGGAGCTCTGTTCCCATCATGCTCAGAGCCAAGGCCAAGGAGTAGGAATGACACACACAGGTCTACCTTAGGTCTCATGATGGGAATGGCAAAGAGAAGGGGTGGGGGGATACCATGCTGAGCTTCACCACAAATCTGATGTTCTCTCTGGCTCCTTTGCCTTGGGCTCAGGTCTTTGAGGAGTTACTGTCTTTGGGGAAGAAGAGGCTGGTATTTGGGGACGGTTCTGGGTAATTGGTGAACAATAGATATTTGAAGCTGATTTACATCATAGTGCCATCCTGAATCAGAAAGGCAATGCTATTTGCCATATTTGTCACCAGGAAAAAGGTTGCTGTAAGGGCGTAGGGTAATTCTTTGAAACTGCTCCCGGGATATTACTGCTATTTATTGGTGGCAGAATGAGGTGGGCAGCCTATCCCACAAGTTGCCCATCAAGTGGCCTCTAATTGGCCATTGAAATCACTAGCTTTTACTTCAGATCATGAGGTAGATGTGGGGTCTGGAGACCTAGATGTTCTATTCAAGTCACCAGAGAAAGTATGAGGTAGATGTGGGGTCTGGAGACCTCCTAGATGTTCTATTCAAGTCACCAGAGAAAGGGATGAGGGCATTACAGGAAAATGTGCTTCAGCCATGAGTCATTCTCACTCTTTGGAGAACACTTAGCAGAGTAGATCCTCCTGGGCTATCATAAATGCTTCCTGGAATTTCTTGGACATTCTAAAGACAACAGGAAGTGACTTTTGTCCATGTGCCCATGACCAAGAATGAATCCTAACCCTACATGATGCTTGTTTGGCTCCTAGGTGTTTTCCAGGTTTCCAGAATCACCAGAAGTCTGAATGCATAGATCTTCAGCACAGCCAGTGCCTATTGCTAATAACATCACCCATTCAAGTTGGGAAAAAACATTACTGAGGATGTGGTTAGGCAATGGCCAACCACCAAGCGTTTTGGTAAGGAATTGCCAAAGTTGATTAGATGCCTTTAGCTTGAGACTGTAAGGCACTCACAGTGGAATTTTAGATATTCTAATAACAAAATTAAAGAAAAGAAATTATATTTCAAATATTACCATTATGTACTCTTATTTTTAATTTTAAATCAGTTAAGTTTTAACCTCTCATGAGATCAAGGAAAATAAAAGATTTATTCAGAGGACCTAAATTACAGAAAAGACACCACATTAAGGACATTATAACTGATCATATCAGTCCACATAAACTCAGCCACTTTTCGTTTCTGTTGAGTTCACTGTGGTTTGTATGTTTGATTTTAAAAGTTTGTTCTAAGTTCTAATTATTTGATTGGTTTATGTTTTTTCCTCCTTTAAATATTATTCTTAAGCTTCCTAGATATCAGGTACTGGGATGGTTTTACATGTAATTCCTATTGATACAATTCTCTCCATTGTGTGTGGAGTGTTCATTTGTCATGGCCCATTCAGGCTCCATCCCATCTTCTCTCACAGTTTGGGTAGAAATGAGTCTACTTCCTGCCTTCTGGGATGGTCCTTGATGAACACAAACAAATCAGCTCAATTTCACTCTCTTGCCACAGTGATCAAGAGTAAATAGGGACCCGCAGATGGCATGATAGTTACATCACTGGGCTCCAACATGGCTGACTGTGTTTCAAGTCCCGGACCCAGTGACTTCAAACTCATACCACGTATATGTGTACATGTGCCCCAAATCCCAAGAGGAAAATGGAGGAGAAGGGATTGTGGTGTGGCCAGTCCCCCTGAGGGTGAGGGGGGAGATTTCTCACTTTCTGGCTCTCTTTCTCTGTCTCTCCATAGAGCACATGTACCCTATAACAAAAACCTGTCCAAAGAAAAAAGAGTAAATAGGTTTGACCCAGTTGACATGTTCAAGAGCAAAATAGGCATTCATGCCAGGGGGAAGAGAAGATTATCCCTGCCCCTGAAGTGTGTCAACGAAACTAGTAGCTCAAAGATCTGTTTGCAGCCCTCTTGAAACAAGGAGGGGAGCTAGAACCAGGGAAGATCAATCAGAGAAATGGAAAAGACCTGGGCTTTGAGGATGTTACTGAGCCACTGAATCAAAATAACTCCAAAGCCTGTCCAGTGTTGGGACTTTCCAGTTACTCAAAATATTTCCTTTTTATTAAAGTAATGCAAGAGTTTCTGCAATATTAGATGTCCTAACCAATACACTGGTAATGGATGAGAAAAATGACACTTAGGTATATTAAACAATGGGTCTGGGTTATAAAATTGGGACAGAACTAGACAGGTTTAATTCTAAAGTCATGCTTTCTCTACCACCCCAGTTACAAGGAAGACTTTGCTCCTGGGGAGGCTTCCTGTTTACTGCCTGGTGGGCACCCTCTAAAGTCAGGGCTGAGTTCCCTGTTTTCTGCAATTCCAGAAAGTTTCTCTATGGGAACCAGCAGTTAGCGTAATGGCTATGTCACTGGACTCCCACGTAGTCAACCGCGGTTCGCGTCCCAGACCCTGTGGCTTAAAACTCACGCTAGACGCATGTGCGTGCGTGCCCAAGATCCTGAGGAGAATGGAGGAGAAGGGATTGTGGCGTGACCATCCCCCTGGGGGGTGATTTCTCGCTTTCTGTCTCTATGTCTCTGTCTGGCGAGCGCACGCGCCCTATAGCGAAAACCTCTCCAAAAAAAAAAAAAAAAAAGTTTCTCTAGTCATTCCTGAGGATGATGCTCAAATGAAAGTTGGTAAATATTTCTTTTAACAATGAAGAAATAAATGAATAACAATAAGACTCTTCTTTGATGATTGTCTACTAAACTCACTGTTGAAAACAACAGTAGGTAAAGAAAGTCAAGAGACACGCTTAGCCCTGAAAATCAAAATGCCTCAGATTCCCAGACCCTGCTTTCTTCTCTGCCCATCCCCAAGTTACCAGATGTCCATGCTGGCCAGGTCTGTTTTTAATCTGAATGAAATGGGAGTTCATGTAAAACCAATTGGGATTACCACCCAAGTCTGACGGTGCAGTGATGGCTTTGGCCCCTGGCCCAGCTAGGCTTCATTTTCAGCTGGGTGCTGCCCCTGGAGCAGGAACAGAGAATGATACTGAGTGCCCTGACTGGTCTCCAGCCCCTTCAGTCCTCTGACAGAAACAGGCTTCCTTCAGGAATACTGGCAGGACTAAATCCCATCCAATGCCCCTTAATCTGATCGCCAAAGGAAATTACATTCAGTGCCTGAGTCGTCTTCTTTATCATTCAGCTCCAACTTCCCTGTTCCTTAGGATGAGTGTTGTGCTAGAGGAAGGTAGACATCAGGAAAACCAGGTAACCCGGTGCAGGAACAGGGGCATCCATGAGGGATATAACAGGCAGCACCAATCAGGCATGTGTCCACAGGCCTGGCCTTGTATAGGGAGGCTGGATGGGGTACATCTCTTATGCCAGAGTGGAAATCAATTGCTAGAAAGGTCTATCCCTTCCCGCTCTTGCACCACCATCCCCAGTCCACAGCTGCTCAGAAAACAGAAAGGAACACAATTATTTATTGAACTGCTAAAAGACTCTCATGTAAGACATGGAGAAAAGGAGCTTATGGTGGAATTTGTTCAAAGTGTGTTGGGAAATCCTACAATTTAGGTAGAATGGATCAGCTGCCAGCTCTTGTGCCCTTACATAGGCAAACAGCAATAAGAGCTGCTATTTGAGTGGCTACTCCCCATCGGATACAATGCTAGGCATTTCACAAGTCTGTTTTCTCATTTAAATTTCCTAAGTCAGTAAAGCCTGCATGAATATTGTCCTCCTTCAGGGGTGAGGCACAGGAGAGGTTCGATCACTTGTTCAAGGTCCGTATAGTAAACAGCAGGGCCTGGACTATGTGACAGTCTGACAGACTCACGTCCATGCAGCTATGAGTTAACACAGAACTCCAAACGCTTGTGCTAACCCAGGTCCTACTTGTTAAATAAGCCTGCATCCCTTCAAGGAGTCAATATAGTTGGTTAAACAAACATCATCCTTAGGCAGGGCGAGTGGAGGAATCATGTCTTCACTGTAATTCTTCGGGGGAAAGGAATGTGCACATGAATGAAGATGCTGTTGTAAATTTTCAAAATCCTTTACATTTTTGTTTTATATCTTGCAAAGCATTCTTAAATAACACTATCTCATCCGATGGTTGTAAAATTTTTATGATGTTGACTGCCAGCGTGATCATTCTCATTTTACTCATGAAGCAACTGCAGTTGGAGCTGTTCCCAAAAGTTCAATGTAAACCAATGACAGGTAGGAATAGAACCCAGGTCTCCTGATTCCTAGCTCAGCACTTACCTCTTAGCTATTTAGAGGTTCCAAAAGCCTTTGACAAGGTTCCACATGTAAAAGTATTTAAAAATAATGAGTCTCCGTGGGACAGTTTGGCCATGGAGAGAATGTACTTAGAGACAGAGAAAGACACGTTTCAGCGTGGAGAAGTGGAACTGGGGACTCTCCAAACACTACTGTTACGACTAGTCCTATTTAATATTTCTTATAAATGGTCTGGAGGAGGGAGCAGAAGGATTTGAAGATGATTCTAAGCTCTTTGGAATTGGATCAAAGATGCCCAGCAATGGAAACGCACTACAGAAAAATAGCCTGTCCTCTGCAGGGACTGAAAGTGAGAAGGACCTGACACATGGGCCAATAGCCCTGGAAATGCAAGTCTCATGGAGCACAGGTCCTGCCTGTTGTACCCAGCACAGTACCCAAGACGTGGTGGGTGCTCAGTTGGTTGTTACTGAATAAAGGAAATGTGACCCATAGTCTGCCCTATCTGAGCTGCTGAATGTTAGCATGGGAAGAGAGACCAAGGAACAAGGAAAGGAGTCTTGGCACTACTATTTTCCACTCCCAGTCCCCCAAGGCAGAAGAAGCCAACAAAATCTAAGGCAGC